TTTTTTATTAAAATTGTATGAATATTTTGAACTTTTAAAAATATGAACAATTTTTTGTAAAATTTATAGACATTTTTAAACCAAATACTTTTAAAATATTTTTTTAAAGGTCCTGTTATTTGAAAATTTTTAAAATTTATAAATATGTTTATGAGGAAATCAAAAAATAGGAGTATTTTTATTAATTTAGCCTATAAAAAATATTATTATTATTATTATTATTTAGTTTAAAATTGGAGTATGGTGCTATATTTTATAATAATAAGAATAACTAAAAATAATAATGGATCTCAAAATTTTTGAACGGAAATTAGTAGTCCGTTTACTTGAAATGATTTAATTTTTTTATAAACAATTAAAAAAATAATTAAAACCCTATCATACACCTAAATTTATGGATTAAGCAATCAAGCTGGCTGATGAAATTTTATATTTATTAATCGTTTTTTTATAAATAAAACTATTGTATTTAATGTTTCTATCAATTATTATAAATAATAATAGTTATAATTTAAATTTTAAAGATTAAAAATTTTATTCTATTTTATTTGTATATCTAAAGGTTAAATAGAAGCAATTTAAAAATTAGAGAATTATTATTTTTTAAAATTATGTTTATAATCGATTTCTACCTATAAATTTCTATCATTTTTTTCTAATACTAATTTAAGTTTTTAAAAATCATAAACAATAATTTTTTAAATTTTAAATTTTTGTTTTGGAATTGAACTAAAAATTCAATCTTTTACACCCATAAAAATTATATTAAAAAATAAGATTAAAAAATGAGGAAGAAACATCATAAATTCCAAAATTAAAAAATTAAAAAAATGAAATCTTTATTACAGAAAAAACCAAGAAATTACCTTAAAAAGTTACCGTACATCACTGGTAAATGCAGAGAGATAAAAAAAGATTAAAAAAAAAAAAAAAAATCAAACGGCTGAAGAAGAAGAGTTAAAGAAATTGATGCAATCTTTTACAGCTTCAGCTCTGTGAGATTCTTCCATCGACTCCGAAACCGAATGGGATCTGTTGAAATTAGACCCGCTTTTCAACGATGACGACGACGAACACGACGCCGGTGACGCCGATCTCTTCCTCAAAGACACGTACCGTAGAACTTTCACGACTTTCGCTCCGATGCGGCGGAGGAAACTTCCCGGGAATAATCTGCCGGATTTTGGCAGCTGGAAAACCCAGAACACGGTGATCAGTCTCTTCCTGTTTCTTGGGAAAGCTGCGGGCTTGGCGGCGGCGGCGGCGGCGCCCTGATCTGAGCTGAAACTCACTCTCCTGCTTGAGCTTAATTTTGTTGACATTTTTTTTTTTTGTTTCTTCTTATTTTGGGATTCAATTGGATTTGTTTGGTTATTTGTAGAGAAATTGAGGATTTAGTAAAAAAGAAACCCCTAGCTGTCTCTCACCAACATCTCTCCCTCATTTATTTATTGTTTTTTTTATTTAATTTTTTAAAGATTTAATTTCTTGTTTTTAGATTAGTCAAATTAAATTAATTAAGGACGTTCATGTGTTGTTTTGGTCGACATTTTAGATTCAATTTAATTGTTTGTGTTTTAATTTTTTTTAATCAATCAACCCTTATTAAATAATAAATTATTTATTTAATTTGTTATTTTTAAATATTTAATTAAAATATTTAATTCATTTTCAATATATATATATTTTTAAAATTAATTTTAAAATAGTTAAAATTTATTTTTAATAATAGTCGAAGAATAAATAACCAAAAACATAGTTATGAAATTAAATAAAAACGAAATAATTACACGTATATAGTTTAATCAAATTTCGTTTTTATTTATTTGTACTCAACCCAACTCATTTTTATAATAAAGAAGCTTGTAAATCTTTTTTTTTTACCCTCTTAAAATTAATTAAAATTTTATTTTACCCATGTTAAAAATTATTTTTAATAACAATTTAGTCTACCAAACTATTAATTGTAATGACTTAATTTACTTTCAAATAAATAAAGTACAACAATTCTAATAACGAGCAAAGGTGAGGATGGTGTATTCTCCGTCTTCATTGCTAAAACTATTATTCTAATTAATTATATTGAATATTTTTGCTCAATTTCGTTTCACAATAATTAAAATACAAAAAAATTAGTTAAAATTAAAAGTTTGAAATATCGCTCCAACGTTATTTTACTAGGTTTTTATAGCTCTCTACCTATTTCAAGTGGCTAGTGAGACATAGTAAATTTAACCGTCCCCACATGTCTATAATTGTTAATTAATTTTATTTATATATGGCCCGACAATAATAAATATCAAGTTTATTCAACAAAAATAAATAAATAAAAATCGAGTAGGTAACCAATATCAACCTTTCTTTTCTATTTTTATTTTCTTTTTCGATTTTTTAAAAACACGGATGAGTTAGAGAGTAGAGATGTTCATGAGATGGAATAGGGACAAGATGCCTTCCACTTTATCTCTGGCCACGTGCAAAATTATCCGTTAATTTTAATTAAAATCTATTTATGATTATATTTTTATTCAATACTTAGTTTTTTACTTAAAAATTTTCATTTTAAATCTCTTAATATAAACAAAATAATTAATCTATTAAGTTTATTTAATTGTCTATGTTCAATACGGCACTTTATTGTTTCAAGACATAAATTATTTTAAAAATAAAAATATTTATAATTAAATTATAAATTTAATCGTAAACTTTATAAATTTTCTTAAAAATTTAAAATCTAAAATTTTTCATATTTTAAATTTTATTTACATCAAATTGAGAGTTTATAGTTCTATAATTTATAAAATTCAAATTTGAATCTAACCCATAAATGAACTTTATTAAATACAAAAAAAAATTATAATTTTTAAAATATTATTACCGAATCTATCCCATATAAAATTTAAAATTAACAAATATACTTTTAAAAAATTCATGATTTTTTAAACAAAAAATAAAAAATAAAAAATTGTAATTGAAACAATATTTATTTAATAAGACATAATATTTAATAAATATAGATTTAGACTTTAATTTTGAACCATTGCGAGAAGGGTGGAAATTTAGAAAGAGAAACAAAGTCAAAGTTCAAGGTCAACGGAGGAGAGAGATTAAGTAGTTTGTTGAATTACTCAATGGGTCAAAGGAGAGAGAAAGTTTGTAGAGGATAAGAGATCTTAATTTTGGTTTTTTTTCTTTTAAAAAACAAATAAAAATCAATTTTTTTAATTGTAAAAATAAATTATAAGCAGGTGGGTTTATTTATTTATTTTTTAATCCCACAATTAAAAAAAGAAAATTGTTCATCAATACCTATGGTGGCCTCTGATGGGCCTCCAATTTCGAGCCCAATTTTTATGATGGATTGTCTTAGAATATGGGCCGAATGGGCCTCCAATATTGTATTTATTTAATTTAGATGTTTTTTTAAATAAAAAATATATTGAAAATATGAGAATTATTTATTAAAAATTTTATTTTGAAATGAATATTTAAAACAAAAAAATTGTAATTTTTTTTTTTTTTTTTTTTGTGAATCATCGCATCCCGATCCCTATAAAAATAAATGATTTTTTTTTTTAAAAAAATATAAATTGGATTAAGAAGTAGAGATGGGAACGGAAATAGAAAAGCATTTAAAACGTGAATTATTGAGGGCATCAAGGTAGCCGCCATAATAGAACTCATAGATATGGTTATTTATTTAATTATTTATTTATTTAAAGACTCAAACTCATGTCCCAAAAATATTATTTATATTTAAAAGTCAAATAATAATAGCATTAAAGTAATTTATAATCACACGTTTGGAAAATTCAAAATTTTAGATTAAATTGATTAATTTTTTTTCAACCCAACCCAACCCAATCTATATCCTATTATTATTAAAAATATGGAGCTTTTAATGTTAAAATTTTATAATAAATAAGTAATAATTTTTTTTTTTTAATAACTTAATAACTTAATCCAACTCATGTACACTTGACCAAATCGAATCATGGATCAATTTTTTATTTTAGACGGTTTAATTTTAATTTTTCGTTTTAGCGTATAGATTCACTCGCTGATCGAGCCGAGCCACGAATGCATAGCTTCAAAGGCAATTGGGTCATTTTGGAAAGAGAGGGAGGAAAAAGTAAAATTTGCATCATAAATTGCAGAGTGCCTCCCACCGGCCACCGGCCTAGCTTGGCTACCAAAAAAATTAAAATCAGTATTATTATTTTTTTAAATAAAAAAAACAACACTATTCAATTTTGCCATTCCTATAAACTATTTAAAAATAAAAAAGATGTTCATATTTGATATTATAATAGTGGAACGATTAGTACATAGGTAGGGGTCGGGGTACATCGGGCATGCTACAACATTAATGAGCGTTTTTTTTTTTTTTTTTTTTTTCAATCACTACATTAGTTTTTAACTTTGTCTAAATGAAATTTAAGTGAAACGAAAATATATTATTTTGTCTCTTTTTACTTCGGGTTTTCAATTTATTTTATTTATTATTTTTTTTTTTGTAAGTTGAAGCTACTCGAGAAGGAAGAAATTTTTGATGCTTAGGGTTGAAAAGTCGAACCATTTTTTCATACACCATCGTGACAATGTAAGAAGGAAGTACGAACAAAATTCAACCTCGGTGTTTGGGACATAAAATTTATTATAAAAGAGAAGCTTTTGAAGAGATACTCCCTTTTTGCTTTAAATCATAGAACAAGAGAGCATGATATGAAATTTTAAGACTGTCGGATTTAATGATGTCCAATTATGTCAATAGACATTGTCAGCTTTGATTCATTATGTATAGGTGTCACTTTTGTCAGCTTTACGATTTTAAAATATGTCTGTTAGGGAGAACGATTTTAAAATGCATATGTTAGGAAGTATTACCCATCCACTTTGGTATGTTACGTATTGCCGTCAGTCTCATAGTTTTAAAACATGTTGCGTAGAAGTTTTCGCAACCTCTTATTGTTATGAGTCGTCGAGTCTTGCTTTTATTGTTAAGAGTAATAATGCTTTACTAATACTATCTCAAAAATATCTTTACTCCCGTAGGTATGAAGTTGGGAGCAACAAGAGCTTTCAATTCTAACTTTTTACATCGGAACCGATACATATTGCATGAACTCTGGGTCAGTTTCAAGACCCGCCATTGTTTCCGGCGCCAAAACCACCTCTAAATCCACACTTCCATTCCCTTCCCGACCAGGAAATGCTGAGATCTTACCGTCGAACTTGTTCGCACCGCCGCTTCGTATGGCTACCGGACGGCCCCATCCGAAATCATTGTTGTACATTGGGAATCTCGGCGAGCTTCCCATTGTCACCGATGCACCATCGGAGTTCCCGAGCGGAAACAACCGTGGGCTCCTCTCCCAATCGGCGATGCCACGACGCACGGTTGCGTCGTCGTGAGCCACCACGTTACGGTGGAGCAAAGCGCTGCACCAACCCAAGTCTTCAGACAGAAGCTCGCCGACCAAAGCGACGGTCGGGATGCTCTGTATAGCGTTTCCGAAGTAAAGCGACGGCATCGGCGGCTGCAGACGATGGCGGCAGTTCACGGCCATTCGAAACGTCGTCGTTTTCGCTGCGTTTAGTTTCCTCGCTTTAGTCACCGAACGCCATAACTGAGCACTGAGAGATTGGAAAGAGGATATTTTCAATTTCCCACCGGAAACGTCGTCGTTCTGTTTTCCGTTAACGATTTTCCAACCGTCATTCAATTGCTTGCCGAGAGTCTCAACGGCGTCGCAATTTCCGTTACTCATATTCCCTCCGTTCGCTCTGTGTTTTAGCCTCGAAATCGCTTCTCTGCTAAAATGAAAAATCCTCTCCCTCAGCCGCGAATTCCCGTCGAATGTCTCCTTCGGACCGCCGGCCGGGAAATTCAACACCGCCGGCGAGTTAAACGCCGTGTTACGGTCAAAATCCGGCGAGTTAGAGATTTTCCCCTTTCCTAAATTAATCTCTGCAAATGTATTGAAAAAATGCCAGAACGAAGTTCCGTCAACAACGGCGTGGTTTACGATGCATCCGACGAAGACACCGTCGGCAAGCTCGGTGACTTGCACCGCCGCCAAAGGCTTATAATGTCCTGAATAACTCAAAGTTTTATCGAAGGCGAAGAAGCTCTTGAAGCAAATCGGAACATCAAGAGGAGAGAGAACAGAGTCGATCGAAAGGTGTTTGGCCTTAGCCTCAATGAAATCGACGCCGGCGTCATTACAGATTAGGTAAACAGCTCCGTCGTGGTCGGTAGTGAAGCGGCCAGCGAGGGCAGGAAAGTGAGAAAGAGCGGCGGAGAGAGAGCGTTTGAGAGAGAAAATAAGATCGGAAAAGGAAGAAGGCGGAGAGGTTAGAAGAACGCCTTTCTGTATATAGTGGCAAGAAAGCATCGGAAGGTCGGAAATAGAGAGCTTAAGTTTTTTAATGGCGGATTTCCGATCAGGAAACACGGTGGAGTTAGAGAGAATTACGGTGGTGGAAGAAGGCATTGTGAAATTGAAATTCGTAAATGGGAAGAAGAATTTGGGATTTGATTTGATTTGTATTTGAATTTGAATTTGGGATTTGGGATTTGGGTTTATATAGAAGAAGATATGGTGGTTAGATTCATGCATTTTGCACGCGAGGTAAGTGGAAATGGCGAGGGGTTTGGAAGGGGGTGATGTATGAGGAAGACGATGACGTGGCCTTGAAATTAAACAGAAAAAGGGCAGAAATTGAGAAGAGAGCGTGTGGATAAGGACACGTGGATGGTAAGGCGTATGTGTAGGCAATATCAACATTAATAATTTAAATGCTTCACTTTTTTTCTACATGTGTTGTGGTTTCATTGAATTTATACTCTATCACTGTGACTAAGAATATCCATGTCAGCACTATTAAAGATATTTTATCATTTTTAACTCTCTTACTTATGAGCTCAAACTTCAATCATTTAAGATCGTGAGATTGACGATGATTTTGTAACAGTCCAAACCCATTGTTAGTAGGGCTTCCTCTCAAGAAAAACACGCTACTAGAGGGAGATTTTTCACACCCTTATAAAGAATCATTTGTTCCCTTTTTCAATCGACGTGGGAACTCACCATTCACCTCCCTTATAGACCCACCGTCCTCCACTGGCATTTGTTTTCCTCCTCGATCGATGTGAGATCCCCTAATTTACCCCCCTTCACGGCCTAATGTCATCACTAGTATACCGCAAGGTGTCCACCTTCCTTCAGAGTTCAGTCTCTTCACTGGCACATCACCCAGTGTCTGGCTTTGATATCATTTGTAACAGCTTAAGCCCACCGCTAACATATATTGTCTTTTTTGGGCTTTCCCCTTAAGATTTTAAAACGCTTTAGAGATTTTTACCTTCTTATAAACAATGGTTTGTTCCCCTTCTCAACCGATATGAGATCTCACATGTACGTAATGAGTTAAAGCAGACAATATTTGCTAGTGGTGGCTTGACAATTACATGTCAGTTATATGTTTCAAACTTCAACCACAATGAGCATTTAGTTATAAGAGTTTGTGTAACGACCCAGATCCACCGCTAGCAGATATTCTCTTATTTATGTTTCCCTCGAGGCTTTTAAACGTATCTATTAGGGAAAGATTTTTACAGGCTTATAAATGGTGGTTTGTTCTCCTCCTCAACCAATATAGAACATCACAGTTTGGTTCGCGTGTATATAGATTTAAAGCTAGAACTATATTATTTATGTAACGAGAAAATATTAATTAAAAAATTATTTATGCACGTGCAAATACATGGGTGGTTAAACAACTTTTAAAAATTAAAAGGGTGAGACCATATAATTAATTAATTGTGTTTTTTATCTTTTTAACTGTGTAATAATAAAATAATAATTAAAAAATAGAAATGTAATCTCAAAGATGATTTAAACGTGCTTCAAAATAATTAATTTTATGAAAAGTTGAGGGAGTTGTATGAATTTGACAAATAACACTTTGCCTTTTATAAAGATAATTTATTTATTTACTTATTTTTGTATTTTTGTGTGTGTGGGTATATGTTGCTTATATATATATATATATATATTATATAATGTTTGATAAAATTATATTTTATTACATTTTTTTTATTATAATTAAATTTTAATACTTTATATAAAACACATCGAAAATGGTAAAATTGATTTAAAATACACTCAAATTTTTAAAAATGTAAATGGCTAAATTAATAAAAACACCATTAAATTTTAAAAAAATTTAAAAAATAACCTTAAACTTTTTTTTAAATAAAAAATATATTATTATCTGATGAAAACATTAATACCTTATTTTAAAAATATATTTTTTTGAAGGGTAAGGTATTAACACTACAATTTCATGAATTTTTATAAAGTTTATTATTCAGGGAATGATCATTAATTTATAATCAAGAAATAATATCTTTATTGGTACTAGGTATGTTGAGAAATACAAACCAAAGTCATAAGAGCTCACACTTAAAGTGAACAATATTATACCATTGTAGAGAGTCTGTTCATCTAACAATTAAGGTTTTTTATTTTTTCTAATTATTTGTATGTTCATATTTGACGTGACAAATTAATTAAGTGGCGTGTGTGAATTCATTATTATTGTGCAATAATTTTATTCAATGAATATGTCCGATCTTGACTTTTGCTCAATTATTATGAAATTTAAGTAGAAAAATGGCCTAAACTGAGCTTTGCCCAATTATATTGTCTTTGTTAGTAGCATCCCCAATTATAGTTGATTTTTAACATGGGTCGGGTCAAGTCAATATAATTAACCTAACTTAAGTTAATACTGACCTCACGTCTTTAATTAAATAAAAAAGGGGAAGGATCTCGTTGTCCATTACAGAAGGGATGAGAAATGATCACGACAATGATTACGTATAACCGACCAGAAGAAAACGAGAGGAAAAGTGTCAGATCACCTAAAAATTGTAGCAGTCCAAGTTTATCGCTAGCCGATGTTGCTTTGGCCCATTGCTGTCAGCCTCATGGTTTTAAAATGTTTTCTTAAGCAGAGTATTCCACACCTTTATAAGAAATGTTTCGTTCCTCTCTCCAATCAATACGAGATCTCACAATCCATCTCTATATTGACACACCACCTGATGATGTCTGGCTCTGATACCATTTGCAAAAGTCCAAGCCATCGTTAGCAGATATTGTCTATGTTTACTCGTTACAATATCGTTGTCAGCCTCACGATTTTAAAACTCATCTTACACGAAATGTTTCATTCCTCTCTTTAACCTGATATAAGATCTTACAATTCACCTACTTCAAGGGTCTAGCGTCTTCGTTGGCACACCACTTGGTGTTTGGCTTTGATATCATTTGTAAGAGCCTAAACTCACCGCTAACAAATATTATCCGCTTTAGTCTATTATGTAACTTAGCCAACCTCACGATTTTAAAAAACGTTACTTCCACACTCTAATAAATAATGTCTGTTTCTCTCTTCAAGGGGTGAGATCTCACAAAAATATTATTAAAATCAACCGACTTTGACAAATCAGTACGAATTTAATAAACCAAAAAAAATAATTAAAAATAATTGTTTGCACAAAGAGAAAGTACAATTTTGTACTAGTTGATAATGACATTATGGTAGCATTAAATGACAAATTCATTAGAAAGAGTTTGAAATCACAAATACATACCAATATGAAATGTATCGGATATATTTCAACATCCTTCTTCAATTGGCTGGTACTCTAATTTGAGGATAAACCTCATCTTCTGGAACGTAGTTCATCTCTCATTTTTAACGAACTAGTTAATCACGAGACGTGTTTTGTGAGATCCCATATAGGTTGGATAAAGGAACAAAACATTCTTTATAAGGATATGTAAACAAAAAATACAGTATATGGATGAATATCAGTTATGCTGTGAAACTCTAAAAGATGCGTTTTAAAATTATAAACGCTGATGACGATACATAACGGACTCGGAAAAAAGAAATGTGTTGGTCAATTTTTGTGCGCTGTGGCCAACAAATCCAAGCAATTGCCTAAATCAAACGGTGGAAGAGGCGAAGACTTGGAAAGGCGGCTGTACTTTTTCAACATGTTGGCGCATGCAATGATTTTTTTTTTTTTTTTCTCATACCTTTCTAAAAATAAATGTTAAAAGAATTAATTGATGTTTTTTATTGGCTTATACATATCTCGATTAATCTTCATTTAAGTTAGTGGTTGAGAATATGCGTGTTCATATGACCTTATAATCTGACTTACTCTAACTAAGCTAGTGGGTGAGAATAAAAGTATTTATATGACTCGATAACTCGATTTATTCCTAACTATCCTAGTGGGTGAGAATAAAGGTGTTTATATAATCCGACAACGTGACTTTCCCTAACTATCTTAGTAGGTAAGAATAGACATGTTCATATAACTCGATAACTTAACTTACCCTAATTATCCAACTCAAACCATAAAAGTTGTACTGGGTTGCTTTCTTTTCGGTTTTTAGTACAAGAAATGAGATACGAGAATTTAAAAATTCGATTACTGTTAAATAATGCTTACTTTAGCTTCTTTCGAGCTCAAGAACGAACCCGAGTTTTGATTAATTGATAGGGATAGGTTGAAATGGACAACGAACTAATTGGGAATGCACACTCCCGTACATGCATGTGGAATTTTTGGTGCATAGAAATATTTATTTTATTATTATTATTTATTTCCCATTTTTCTTGCCATTCTTTTATTGGTATGACCTTTTTAGTTACGTATAAAATGGGAATTCGATATCTTTGTCACACCCATTTTCGTGGGTTTTAATATTATATAATAAGGTTTTAATTTAATTAAACGCTAAAGTATTCTCTCAAAATAATAATAATTATTATTTTTATGGCTTAAGCTTTTTACATGTTTGACCTTTATATTATTTTAAAATCCCAAACATAGTTGGAACTCAAAAAATATTAAAAAATAATAATAATAAATATATATTAATTTAAATATTAGTAAGAAATATGAAATAATAATGAATGATTACTTATTCTTCCACTAAATTGATAACAATATTTATGTCAATTTAATCATAATATGGAAATTATAATTTTCAATTTCCTTTACACATGCTTGTTTATTTATGGAACTATAATAATTATAATAAATGTTTTTTGATTTTATAAATCTATTATTATATTATATTTATAATTAATTGGGATAATCGAGTAAAGAAAGAATATATGAATGAATTGATGGATGATGTGAAGGCGTCTGCTTTCTTCCTCTGATTAATAAATATTTATTAATGTTAATATATAATTAAGCTAATTAAGAAAATAACATTAATTGTGTGGGGTTGGATGGGAGAAATAGTATGGGGAACCAATAAAGGTGGGTGGAGGGCCTTCCCATTATCATTTTAACAAGATCTCATTTTGAATTCAAAGAGTGATGTGACTAAAAATGAACCATACCATTTTATATGGTCGCTTAATGTTGTTTCGTTTGGAGAATATGAAAAAGGCGAGTTAAAGAAAAAAGATTGAAGGCAAATCGAGCCTTCACTGATGAACGAATAGAAAATCTGGTCGGAAGGTTGAAGGTAGAAGAGTGTTAAGTCACCATCGAACTTAAAAATTTAAGTTATATCAATAGTAGAAGACTTGATGTGATACCTGAATGAATAAAGGGTACATGAATAAGCTGAGATCACATTCGAATAAGAGTGATCTTAAAGATAGGGATTGGATGACTTAGAAAGAATTTAAATTATTACTTACACTAACAAGGTATACGTTCTCTTTCAGTGACTTAATCATAGGATCTCTAAAGTTAAGCATGTTTTGCTTGGAGTTTTTATGTTGAGTGACCTTCTATAAATTTTCCTAGGATAACTGTGTGGGTGAGGTCTGAACTCTTAAAAGCAAGTAGTGAATAACCTAATGTAACAATGTTAATCTATGGGGATAGTATGAACTCTTGAAGCAAGTAGTAAATAACGTGATGTAACAGCTTGAGCTCACCGCTAACATATATTGTCCGCTTTGACCTGTTATGTGTCAGCCTCACGGTTTTAAAACGCGACTGTTAAGGAAAGGTTTCCTCACCCTTATAAGGAATGTTTCGTGGGATCTCATATGTGACTATTATTACAGGAGATGTAGAGAACTGTCGAGACTATCAGATGCTACAAATTTAAAGTATTGATCCACATCTTACGATAATTTAATCATATCAATAAAAAGAGTCAAAAGGTGTGGTAGGGTTGATTCCTTTGTGGAAGGAGAAGCTCATTCATATACATATGGAAATCATGTAGAGCCCATAGGCCATTGATGTTCCTTGTCTTGTCAAACAAATAAACAACACAAAGACTTAAACTTTGGTCTCTCTTTTAAAACCACTATTGGGAATATTCCATTTAGATTATGAAACAATCCATTCTTATCATTTAGACACTTTGGAGACAAATATTTAGTCGAGCAATGAATGCTCGATCAAAGCCTCCAATTCTCGACATAAAAAAAAAAAAAAAAAAAAAAAGACATCACGGGAAATGATCATTTCATAAAGTTATAGTTATGTTCATCAACATATTCACATCAGAGCACATGATACACAGTAATCATATGATAGAGCAACCTAAGATTGCCAAACCATATTGATTCTTTTAATTCATAAGCACATCCTATGTTCTAACCATCAAAAATATCCCAAAAAGAAAGAAGAAGTTCAGTGATAATTCATTGGTTGCACCTGAAAAATATTATAGTAAGATGCAATAGCAGATCGATGAATGGTTTCTTTCAACAGGTTCTCTTCTTGTTGCTGAGGTTCATTAGAAGGCATAACCATAAACATGTTACCATTCGACGAGTCGAGTACTTGATTCGAAGATTTCCAGTCGAATTGTTGCTCGGTGCTGCCGACCATTTCGGAAAGTTGATGCAGTTGTGCAGCCATTGCAGCCGGATCCGGGGATGGATGCCTGTTGTTGTCCCCCAATGGAGATTTCGTATCGGGGAGATTGACAGTCGTGATGTCGTGGATACTCGATCTTCTCTTGTCCTTCCCTCCACTCAGCTGTCTAATGAAGTACTTTTGGGCATGACTAGCCACTTGTGTTGGCGTTCTCGTTGTAACGAAATTACGAGAAATGTTTCTCCAGTCACCTTTGCCATATTTTTTAAGACCCATCAGAAATTGCCTGTAGTTTTAAGCAGCAAACAGCTCCAAATTAAAAGCTGCAGAGCCATGAGATACCATAAAAGCGTACACACAATTGAATGTTCCTTGGCACAATTTCTTAATCAATGCAGAGCAGGCAGAACACTACGGGCATTTAATCCTTCAAAGTTATTTCAATTTTTTGTTTTACACTTTTCAGAGGACAAAGGCACTCTAAATAACCCTCTAATCCTATACCATTATAACATCAAGAAACAATATCCGATGTAAAATCCCACGTCGAGAAGAAAAAACAAAACGAAACATTCTTATAAGAGTGTGAAAACCTCTCCCAAGTACAAGCAATTTAAAACTTTGAAGGAAAGTACAAAAAAGTATCAAGAGCTCGACACTGAGTGATGTGCTAATGAGAAGTTTGAGAAGGTGTGCCAGCTAAGACGCTAGGCTCCTAAAGAGGGTGGATTGAGGGGTCCACATTAATTGGAGAAGGGAACGAGGGTCAGCAAAGACAACTCCGAAAGGGGTGGATTGTGAGATCCCATACGGGGTGTGTAAACCTCTCCCGAGTTTCTGACCGGGATTGGGCCGATCACAACAATTAGAATTCAAATTTTCATTCAATAATAACAGAACAAAGAACAGAGCTAAAAGTACCTGTGTTCTTCTTCAGTCCAGGGAATTCCTTTCTTCCTTTCATGATCAGAAGGTCTAGTAGACGTCCCTCTCTTGAATCCAGAGCCAAAAAAATGGCTCAAACCATCAAATCCATGGCTGCTATCGACTCGTTCCAATGTGAAGGAATTGCTACTGTCATAGTCACGAATAGGGATGAGACCAGCCTCTATGTCACTGACATCCTCCTCCAGTTCTTGGTACTGCTTTATCACATCACCGATGGTCTTGCCGGGAATCATGGCGGCAACTTTGAACCACCGATCGGAAGTGTCCTCATCGTACAAGGCCAGAGCATTCTCGAACCGTTTGTTTTCCTCAGGGGTCCATTGTGTTCCTTTCGTTTCTTGAAATAACCAGTTCGAATTTTGAAGATAAGAAGCCGGAGAGAGAAATTCCATGGCCGAAAATCTCTCTCTGAAAATCCAGAGAGGAAATGCAGAGAAATGGAGGGTTTATTAGGTCATGAAAGCATTAAAAACAAGAGCATCTGAGAAGAATCGCGAAGCCTTTTGGGAAATTTTGGGAATCTTGAAAAGACCTCTTTACTTTTCAGAGCCCTAGGAAGATTCGTCGTGGACCAAAACGAACCCTAGAGGCTCTGTTTCAGATCCAAAACAACAAAAAATTGTAGTACATCCGCCATCGCCATCGCGGAGCTTGGATCTTATGAGAATTACAGAGCGGTATTCAACGAGAAATGCTAAATCCAAAAGCTAAAAACAGAGAAATGGTGAAAATTCATAGAAAATGAAGAGCAGTAGAACATGAAATGAGGTGTATGAGAAAGCCCTAGGTAGGTAGTGATGGCGCTGATGATGGTGGTATGTATGCAGCGAGAAATGCAGAGAATTAAAGAGACTGAAAATGAAAGGTGAACAGTGTTGAGTCATAATTGGTGGGTCTGCTGATTGTGGGAGCTGATTCTTCACACAAAAGTTCTAAAGAGAGATGCCAATTGCCAAACTATTACACTTACAAAATTGGTGGTTGTGGCCACAAGGGCAATTCAGCAAATACCCTTAACTTAAATTAAATTACAAATTTAGTCTCTAAAATTTTTATTTTTATTTATAGGTCCGACTACTTTTTCTTTCAAACGGAAAAACCCAAAGAGGATTATACATATACTAGTCACCCGCTTAGGCATTACAAATGGTATCAGAGTTAAACACCGTGTGATGTGTTAATAAGAAGGTTGAGCCTCGAAAAGAAGTGGATACGAGACGGTGTGTAAGCAAGGACGCTGAGCCCTGAACAGGTGGATTGGGAGTCCCACATCGATTAAAGAAGGGGACTGAGTGCCGCGAGGACGCTGTCCCTAAAGCGGATGGATTGTGTGGTCCCACATCAGTTGAGGAAGAGAATGAAACATTGTTTTTAAGGGTGTGGAAAAAAACGGTTAAGGGAAAACCCAACGGTAAAAGTTCAATTTTAATATATAAAATTTAAGGGATGGGATTAAGTGTAAATTTTAAAAGTTTGAGGACTATTATTAGATATTTAAAATTGGAAAATGGAATCCGACCCATTATTATTACCCAATAGAGTAAAGAAACAACTATTACAAAAAAGGGCTCATAGAATTTCCTCTTTCACACTTTGTGCCCAAGAATCTTTGCAAATTTATTTTGAAGAAAAAATTTGAAATGAATTATTATTATTAAATTATTCATAATTAGGAATTATATTTAGAAACTTATAATTCACAAAAAAATGCAATTAAAGTTGTTCAAAAAACAAAAGAAGAAAAAAAAAAAGTCATTCTTTAAAACCAACAAAAGTGAGAAAAAAAATTCCTTTTTTTTAAAATATTATATTGTAAATAAAGAAAAGGTGACCGAACATATAACAATCCACTTCAACTATGTCGAAGTCAACAAACACAAAAAATGTCAATAAAAATATAATTTTTTATTTGTTAAATTACAACTTTAGTCTCTCAACATTCAGAACCTTAAACTTAAAATTTTGTATTGTCAGTAAATATTAAATTTAGTCCCTAAATCTTAAAATTTATTTCGTTTGATCATAAAATTATCAATAGAACTTCGAAATTAAAATTATTTCAAAATTTCGTAATTTTAGAAGAAATATATATTATAAGTAAAAAAACAAAAAAAAATGTGTTTAATTAATAAGTTAAAGGACATAGGGATTTGGAGAGTTGTGAGTTCCAAACACCAAGGGACACACTAAGCATATGCGATTGGTGGTTTGAGGAAATTAAGATTTTTCATAGTACTTAAGAGGCATTAATAACCTTAAAAGTGAGTTTAAAAGTTTATCATTAATCATAAAACAATATATAATGGGTTAGGTGGTGAATGGAGTACGATCTTATATTATAATTATTTAAATAACATTCCTAGCTAAAACAATATAATAAAATTTTTATATAATAATAATAATAATAATAACAACAATTATAGTCCCACGTTCAACCAACATTTTTCAGGTATCAAACTATAAACAAACAAAATTTGTATATATATGTTTCCTTTTCGTAAATTTAAAATTAAAATTTAAAGTTATGTATATTAATTAGATCTCATATGGGTGTTGAAACCTCTCCCTAATAGACACGTTTCAAAATCGTGAAGCTAGCAATGATACATAAGATAATGTCGGGTAGCAGTAGACTAGGATTGAAAAAAATAATAAACCACTAATATTATTATAATAATAAAGAATTAATTTACTAAAAGTAGTTAATGTATGGAGTGAGAGGGGACATGTGGAAGTGTGTGCATCAGGGAAGTGCTTTTGCTGCCTCTACTTTTAGTTTTTGCACATAATTTAGTGCTTTTGGTGAGTGCTTGTACACCTAGCAATTCATTTGCATTATTATTATTTTTTTATTACTATTAATGGTGTGGAGTGATTTTGATGTTTGAAATTGGCCATTATGAAATTGTTTTTAATTTTTTTAAAATTTTATTTTATTTATTTATTATCTAAATTACTCGAGAATTCTGATCTATTTCTGTTTCTGTCTCCTATTTTATTCTCCATTGCTACGAAATTATTTATTTATTTTTATAGTTTAAACTTATTTTTGAATTTGACCTTGAAAATATTCATAAATATGGAATAAAATAAATTTTACTTTGGTTTATCCAATCGGCAGTTGCCACGCAAGCCCTAAATCGAATTAGCTACCAACGTACTCCTATTGGTTATCTCTATGGTAGTGGGTCCTAACGGCCCATTAAAGTGATAATAGGCCGGCCCATTATTATATTTTATGGGCCAGTCATGAAGCACTCGGTCCAATAAGCTCATATCCACGTGTTAGAATATTTATCATTTTTAGTTAAAAAAAAAAAAAATTATTGGCAAAATATAAATTTAGTCTGGAGGTTTAAAGTTGTACATGATAGTTAAAAAAAACTGTTTTAAATGATCTCTACCAAAAATGACGTGTCATAAATATAGTGGCAATCTTTCTCTAGAGATAGTTTATTTTATTAGTACAAATTCGCTTCCAACAGAAAAAAAATTATGAATATTATATTCTCTCATTTTTGCGCAATTTAATATAAATATATTTTTAATACATATTAAAAATAATATATATATATATATATATATATTTTTTTTTTTGCTATATTAAAAAAATGAATTAGAGACTCCAGATTATGTTATAATTTTTTTTAATAGTTAAAGAATATTAAATTTTGAATTTATAAAAATTATGTCAATGGAACATTTTTAGATTATTTTAATAATTAGTTACAATATTAAAATTTTAACATTTTAAAATTTTAACATTATCTTTATAAAAATATATTAATTTATTAGGAATTTTTTTTACCAATTTTTTATTAAATGATGCCATCTTTAAAATAACTGTTTTTTAAAATAATAATAAATGAGGACAATTAGGTGCGATAACTCTATCTTCACATCATGCTCCGCTAGGATACCTCTACCTTCATCGCCATCACACCATGCTATGCTCCTCGTCGTCACTCACTCCCTGCTTGCCATCAAACCTCCCTCAATTCTCTTGCCAGTTTTGGAACGAGGAACAATCCTCGATCGAAAACGAGCAACATTCCAAATCTTGAGGGGTAAACCTTTAATTCTAGATATGAACCAATCGGTTGGAGTTTGCACATCCAAATCAACTTCATTTGACGAACAAGGTTTCACAAACAAACCCATTTGAGACAAAAGAGTCTATTTTAAAGTAGACGAACTGACAATTTAAAATATTTTTTAGAACTCGAGACCAAAAAGTTGTTTATTAGGGTTTAATTGGAGAGTAAATAAAAAAGCAACCCCTAATGTTCTTTATTATCTGTTCTTTCTTTCAATACAACGGTTGGAAAGGAAAAGAAAAAAAGAAGACAAAAAAGAATTGTGTTCTTCAAACAATTAAATTACAAGTAGTATTTATTTGAACAAACTTGAGCAAATGTGTTTTCCCAAGAAAGCAGAAAGCTCTAATCCTGGCTCTTTCACTGTATTTCCATCGATCTTCTGTGTTCTTCATGTTATTCAAATGGGTTGTTCTGTTTTGAGTCTCTTCTTCCTTAATAGCCATCTTGGGCTGGCTAGCATTTTGGAAGGTCCTTCGGAGGCGGAATGATCGATTGGTTTGGTCCTTTCCCATTTTCCACCAAGAAAGCCATCTTTAATCCCCATGTTGTGTGCACTTCCAAATGGCAATGCATGAACCAAACCCCTACAACAAAATCATCATCAATAACATTCACTACATCGATCTATTAGATAGGAATTTGTGAAGTTTTTCTACCTGGATTATCAGCTCTAAATCTGATGGCCGTCCATCCACCGGAAGGCACTCCGACGGTGTTTCTCTCAACAGGGTCGACGAGATTAAACGATTTGGGGTCGTTTTTAGGGTCATAATTGCCGATTCCTCTTCCAACGACGAAGAAATTAAACCCGTGGAGATGAATAGGGTGGGTTTCTGCGGTAAGGATTCCGGTGTCTTGTAAAACAAGCTCCACTGTATCGTTGTATTTCAGCTTATAAAGCTTCGTTCCCCTTGTGGTCTGCAAATTTGATGGACCACTGCCAGTGTAGTTGAATACATGAGGTGGGTTAGCAGGGAAATCTGTTGTAAAAACTCCATTGATGTTGAAATAATGAGCTTGTAATAGGGCTGTGGTTGGCATGACGAATGTAACATTGTTTATGCTAGCCACTGCCCGGCTTCCGTTGCCAGCTTTGCAGGTGGGACAAGGGTTGATCCCAAGGCCAACTGTGAAGAAAAGGTTGTGATCAATGGTCAATGGGACTCGTGCAGGGTAGGTGTTTGAATTAATGCTTCTGAGAGAGTTTAGGAAATTGTTGGCTACTGGAGTTGCGTTTTGAGGAGGTGGGGCGGTTAAGGTCGTTGTGGTGGTAGCAAGCATGCCAGCATAATGCAGCGTGGCCATGGCGGTGTTGTTGTCGACCGTGATCGGAGCGTCCATGAACGGGGAGGCTGCAACCAAGTACTTGCCGGAGGTTTGATCAGCAGTTATTAGGACATTGGTTGTTTGGCCTGGGGCAATTAGAATTGTATCTGTTTTGAATGGTTTCACATAGGTAGCATCTACCTCCACAACTGTGAGCTTGTGCCCAGCAATCTTGAAGAACAGTTCTTCATTGAGTGCAGCATTGATTATGCGTAGTAAGTAAGTATTTCCACTCTTAACAGGCAATGTGAAACCCCCCGAGGACAAATATTCATGTCATTTTAAGTATTTTTTCAATTTTCTGATGCATAATGGTTGTTCTATGTTCTGATTGATATTGTACCTTGTGAAGAACAGCTTGAGATGGGTCCTGAATGACCATTGATTGTGTGAGCGTCTGACACATTTGGAGCTAATCCCGACTTGAGAGCTTCGTTGATCACGGCTTCGGTGTCGGATTTCCACCACTCAGCTGCAGAAGCAAGATCATGTTTTAGAACCAAATCAGTCAGGCCCAAGTAAAGGTAAACAAGGATGCTAAATGTAAGATCCCACATTGGTTGGGGAGGAGAACGAAACACTCTTTATAAAGGTGTGGAAACCTCTCCCTAGCAGACGCGTTTTAAAAACCTTGAGGGGAAGCTCGAAAGAAAAAGCCTAAAAAGGATAATATCTACTAGCAGTGTGCTTGGGTCGTTATACTAAAGATAGATTTGTTTAACTTTCAAATTTGCTCACCTAATACAACAACTACTTCTTTGTGAGGAGCAGGGAATGGATAAGGCACGCCACGTTTGGGCAAGATGACCACAGCACCATGGACAGTCGCCCTCAGCCATAGAATATGTGCGTGCCAGAAAAGGGTGCCTCTTTGGCCAGTAATGGTGAAGTTATATAAATAACTTTGCCCTGATGGGATTGGACATTGTGTAATGTATGCAGGTCCATCGGCCCAACCGGTTCGAAGCTGCCGAATTCCATGCCTGATCAGAAAAAGAAGGTAAGCAAGTATCATCCTTCACTTTGCTCTATATACTATTATAAGTCAGTCATTCTTTGCGTTCATCACATAAGATGGGTGAAATAGAACTTTTGGAGGAAGGCTTACCAGTGGATGGAAAGATTGTATTGAACATGGTTAACAACCTTAATAAGCACCGTGTCGTCTTCCCTAACATAGATAGTAGGCCCTGGAAACTTTCCATTAACAGTGACGATTTGCTTACTTGAACAGAGTTTGGTTGTATTTTTCAAAACCACCTGCCATTAACATATAGAATAGAGATTTGAATCCCGAGTACGTTGGATTTGTCCTTATTTCAGATTTAGTACACAAGAAAGATTGATGGCTTAATTGAAATTGTAACAGCCCAAGTCCACCGTTAGCAAATATTGTCTTCTTTGGGATTTCCCTTTCAGGCTTCCCCTCAAGGTTTTTAAAACGTGTCTGCTAGGAAGAGATTTCCACACCTTTATAAAGAATGTTTCGTTCTCCTCCCCAACCGATGTGGGATCTCACAATCCACCCCCTTCGGGGTCCAGCGTCTTTGCTGGCACACCGCCTTGTGTCCAGCCTTCTCACTGGCATATCGCCTAGTGTTTGGCTCTGATACCATTTGTAAGAGTCCAATTCCACTGCTAGCAGATATTGTCCTCTTTGGGCTTTCCCTTTCGGGCTTCTCCTCAAGGTTTTTAAAATGCGTCAGCTAGAGAGAGGTTTCCACACTCTTAAAAAGAATGCTTAGTTCTCCTCTCCAACCGATGTGAGATAATTTAGCCTAAACATTATAAAGTTGATGACATGAAGATCTTTAAAAGTTCAGTAGATTACTGAAAGACAAATGAAACCTTTTGAATCTTTAAAATGAAAGAAAAGGTTACAAAAAGAAAATCTTTTACTCTTTCCTTTCCATATCATCATAAGGGAATAAGACAATAAAAGAAACAAGCTGGGATTTGTGTGTCAAAAGGGTCCTGCCTTTTGCTTGTGGTTGATATCAAAAAACCAGGACTTACATTGAATTTGTAATGTCGAACCCGGCATTCGACCAAAGCCGGGAAAATGCAGGCCACCAGAACCAGAAATCGAATCATTAAACCCATATCTCTCTCTTTTCTCTCCCTATATTGTTGTTTATCAGCCTCGTTTCTATGTGGGGAATGAAGAATTGAGAACCTCCTTATATAAAGCTTTGCTGAAATGTCGTTTTTGTATGGTAGGTGAATGATAGAGCCATATGTTCTGTTAAGTCACAATATTTCTTGAGAAATTCTCTGCTGTGTGCATCTCAGTGATCCCTTACATCTCACATAAAGTTGTTTTTCAAATGGACCAATCTGTGTAGTTCTGGAAGCCAAGAAATTCCCAGAAGAAACTAACTCATTCATGAACACTAATGTATTAGGTGCTGGTTGCTTGTATTCTGTGAAACAATTTGTCCAGGTTTTCTCCATCATTCACATGACTCTTGTTCTCATAGTGTACAAGATTGGAGCGTTCTTATGAGATCCCACATTTGTTAGAGAGGGGAACGGAGCATTTTTTATAAGGGTGTAGAAACCTTTCCCTAGCAGATGCGTTTTAAAATCGTGAGACTAACGGCGATACGTAACCGGACAAAATGGACAATATCTGCTAGCGGTGGACTTGTACCGTTACAGTTTTCTTGAGAATGGTATTTATAATACATGGAAGATATTTATTCAAATCACATGTAATTCAGATTTGTGGATGTAGATAATTACTGAAGTCTGTCTTCGTTCGTTGCATGTCTGTGGGAAGATGATGAATGATATGGTTAGATATTTTAAAACAAAGGAGAATTACTTTGTGATTAAAAGTGTTTGGTTGTCATTTTCAGAGCTTTATATATATATATATGCATGTATATATAAAGATATAGATATTACTTTATTGTTGGGAAATGGTTTTCAGGTCAGCTTCAAATTAGTAACCCAACTAATGGATTTCATCTTGAAGCTTAAGATTAAACCATGGTGGGTATGAACCTTCTTCTCTCTTTATTAAGTTTAAAAACGAAGTTATTTGAATTATGAGTTATGGAGTTTGGAGTTTGAATTGGTGAGCAGTAGGTCTCTATCATGCTTTCTTGTTGATGAAGAACCGACCCATTCAAGGCTATTTCTTTAGATTATCATTTTAGTATTTGAATAATCTTGTTGTTATGGTTCCATCTTTTTGCTCTAGTATTTGTGCACTCTTTGGTCTATCAACTCTAGTATACATAGAGCTGTGGCGTAATCCGCTGGCGTTTGAGCTACTACAGAGCCCCGACATTCGGCTTCAAACCCATAATTTGATTGAACATTGGTCTATCAACTCTATTTCAAGCCAAGCCAAGCCAAATTTTCAATTGAAATTAGAGAACACAAACTTCATGACGGTCCTTCAAATCTTAGCAATAGAGAGTCATATTTGAGATTAATTCAACAATGAAGGAAAAATTAACAAATAAAACACCCAAAATCCAGTCACATATCACACCAAATTGTGACCAGAATGGTGTTGCCAAAAAAACACTCAACAAATCAAATACTAAACATTTAAAGCTCAAATTTATGAATTTAAGTGGTATGTCAACTCAAATTACTTGGCAAAGTAAGGGTATAAAAAGAATTTATGTATATACATATTTTTGAAATAAAACTTCAAAGAAGATTCAAACCCGAAACTTAACCGTAGATTTGAGAAATGGAGAAAATATATTGATGCAAAAATGATGAAACGGGGACATTAATGACCAATCGGTGAGCGAAACATCGTTATATTATGCTTGATTGGACTTTTTACCTGACCATTTTTTCAACTCGATCGATACTTATTGGACTAAAATATATTATAATAAAATATGGTAAAAAACAATGGAGAGTTAGTTATGGGTTTGTTTGTTCCTTTTAAAAATCTTTACTTTTACTTCACCGTTACTTAAGAGTCAACCTAGTAACTTTTTTTATGTTCGTACTTTTGTGGGACTTCTTGTCGTACGGAGAACGAACCTTGTTTTTCTGATTCCGACAAATTGGGTTCGGCCCAATAGTCAAGTTCAGGTCCACTAAGTTTGAGAGCCAAGGCCCTGTATGTAACATGATTGATCTACTTGGGCCTAATGTTGGCCCACTAAATGCTCGATGTATTGTTTTCCATTGGGCTCAAGCCCAAATGTAAGGGGCTTTGCAGGAATGGGCCCATATACCATATTATTGACCCTTATATGTACATGTTGATCTACTTGGGCCTATTGTTGGCCCACTAAAGGCTTGATGCATTGTTTTCCAATGGGCTCAAGCCCAAATGTAAGGGGGCTTTGTAGGAATGGGCCCATATCTCATATTATATATATATATATATATATTAAGTGATAAGAATAATAAAATGAGAGGTCAAAAGAAATCCAATCTCTCTCCTCTCTCTCTCTCTCTCTCTCTCTAAGATACACAAATATGATAGTGTTCAAACCAGTTCAAACCTGTTTCACAGTCCATAGAAATACCTTCTTCTACACAGCAAGATTTCCCAATTCAAAGAGCTCCTTCTTGTGGCGCTGCCAGCCCAACACCTCTGATTCAAGTTCTCCCACGCCACCTGAAGGAGATTCACAAAAGCAGGAGATACTGGCCAGAATAGCACAACTTCAAACTCAAAAACTCCGACTTACCGACTTCTTAGACGAAAAATCAGCTGATCTCACACAGTTTGCTGAAGATGCTGATGCGGAGTTTGAGAAGATTGGAGAAGATGCCCTCAGAGGGCTCGATGAAGCCAGTGCACGGGTCGGTGTTGGTCTATATTTGGTTCCTTTCTCATTTGTCACTGAATTTTGTAGTTTGGAATATGACCCAGTTCTTGTTTTAATGAACAGATTATGGAGAACATTGAGAGCCAGATGCAAGTTTTTGAGGAGTCTGCAGAATTGAACAGGCAGGAAATAGAGAAGAATGATGATATGTTGGCAAAGTTTGAGGGTCAAATTGAAGAAGGACGAAATGAAGGTCTTTTCTTTAAGAACATGAGGCAGAAGAAGCCCGCAGACAAAGTGGAAATGGAGAAGATTGAAGAGCTTACTAAAGAAAATGCTGCTGGTTCGAAGACGAGGCGATATATCTATCTCGCATTGATTGGCCTGCTAGTCGTGGCGATTGTCGAATCATTCGTTTCTTCAACTGATTGGCGGAAAGTTGCAGTTCTTGGGGCAATGCTTGCTGCTTTGGTTTCTCGATTTTCTTATGAGCAAAGGATGTCATCTGATATAGAAAGAACAGAAATCAAAGACAACCGGAGGAAAGAGTGAAGAAGTCTTGTTATTGCTGAAAGCATGAACAAAAGATGGAAAATAAGAACTATAGCATGAGACATAACCCCAAGTAAATGCTCTCTGCTCGGGTCTGATACATCAAGCTACTTTACTTTTGCATCGATAACATTTGGTCTTGGTGATTATGACTTCAATCACCACGACCTCTGTAATGAATTACAACATTTGATGCTTAGAATTTTCATTTGAAACGATATTTTATCAATATCTTCGACATAATTACAACATGATCTATGCAAGTTTCAGAGCAGCTTGATAAAATAGCGAGCAGAACATATATTTTCCTGCTATCTATCCATCTACATTATTTTTTTTTAAGTAAGATGTTCGTGCCCAATTGAAAAACTTTCAAATTTGAATCAAAATTGTAACTCTTTTGGAAACATGATATTAATACAGGCCTAAGAAATGTATTACTACAACAATGAAAATTTGAAAACCTTGAACATCACTGGTCAGCCATCGAAACTTCAAAATAAAAATTAAGGAAGCTCGGTAATCGTTAAAATGATGGTCTTACCTCTATGCCGAAGAGCCTTGGAGTCGCTTCAAGAGTAAGAACACAAATAACAAATAAGATCTACAAGGATTGATGAATGCAAGTGACAATGCATATAGAGCAGCTGCCTATAAGTTGATAATATCTGATCAAAACTCGATAAGCCAAGAAACTGCAGTTTACTAGTTCAGAGCATATGTAACCGCCCAAACCCAACCATTAGCAGATATTGTTCTCTCTAGGCTTTCTCTCAAGATTTTTAAAATTCATCTGCTAGGAGAGAGGTTTTCACACCCTTATAAAGAATCAGCTCTCCCGCTTGCTCCAACCTCCCTTTTTTGCATAATCCATGAATCATTGAGGAGTAAGCAAAAGTAACCAAATCGGCATCCTCATTTTCAGCTTCTTTTAATATCCTTAAAGCCTCATTCAAGTATCCATTCTTACACAGCCCATGAATCAACAATCCATATGTTGTTGAATCTGCCCTTAAGCCCCCTCTTATGTAAGAGCTGCCAATTACAAATCGCTTCTTCCACTTTCTTGTTGTCAAACAACCCTTGAATCAATATGTTATAACTAACGATATTGCAACAGTTATTCTTACCCATCTCCTCCCACAACTCAAAGCATTTACTTAGTTTGGCAGCTCGAAATAGACCCCTGAGCATTGAATTATATGTTGGCACATCAGGCGATAACCCACTGTCAATCATCTCCTGATAAATTTTCTCAGCAGCATCGGAGTTTCCTGCTTTGCTCAAACCGTGAATCATAGAACTAAAAGTAAATAAATCGACTGACCTTTGGTTCTTCTTCATTCTATTCCATATTTCCATACTCTCATCGAACTTACCCAGCTTACATAAACCATTTATCATAATGTTATATGTTGCCACACTCGGATAAACTGAAGATTCCCTCAGTAATCTCTCCCAAATCACAGTAGTCTTCTCAAAATCTCCTTTTCTGAAAAAACCCATCAATCAGAATATTATAACACATAACATCAGGGTTCATCTCTCTCTCAGACATTTCATCAAACACCTCCACGGCATCCGATAACTTACCATCCATCGCAAGTGCATTGACTAAAGTACCATAGCTTAAAACATTAGGGTTCAAACCCTTCTCCGACATCCAATTCAACAATCTCTTCGCCTTTTCAAACTGCTTCTTCTTACACGATATCTTGATCAAAATGTTATAAGTTTGCAAATTGGGCGAAATGCCCACCGTCTGAAAGTATGTGAAAAACAGTTCAGCTCGGCTCCACTGATTAGACTCAATGAACGCATTAAACATAGAGTTATATGACTTGATTCCCGGTTTACACCCAAAAATGTCAACCATGCGTTGAAACAAATACAGCGCTTCATCGGGCATTGAACACTTCGCATAGGCCTTGATAGCCGTCAGTGCGACATCTTCGGAGCAGGTGCATCTTTGAGCTCGTATTAACTCCACGATCCGACCAACATGAACAACGAGCCTCGGATCGATAAGTCGCCGGAGAATGTAGTGGAATACGAATGGTGAGTGAACGTAACTCAGGATGTTGACACACCGAATCGAATAGAGCGAGTGCCGCATTGGGGTTTTTCTCTGCTTTGAGGAGTTTTGAAACCAGTGTAGGGGATAGCGCTTTGGGGAGCTCAACCATGGCAAAGACGCTAAGAATTATACTTCGACAATAACGCCGATGCTTCCAGACCGGAATTTGCAATCGGAGTCGTGTCTCCGGCGGAGTAATGATGACTCGACGTACAGTGGATGCTTCCGTGTTTGGGCATCTTCCTTCTCCTCTTCCTCTTCGGCACACCAGGCATGAGCTTCTGCATAACACTGCAAATGTGTTCCGGTATGGTGGGCCAAAGTTATATACTTAGCCCACAAGTAAACGGAAGGCCCATTTACCTTTATGAAAGCCCAATTCCAAAATTGGGCCTTCAGTTGGGCTTGGCTTCATGCCACCTAGATATATAAAAAATGACGTAAATAATAAAAATTAACATTATATATGAGTTGTACGATATATTAATTATGTGACATCATTTTTTGTCTTTTTAAATAAATTATAAGCATTAACTGATAAAAATTCAATATAAGCTTTAATATATAGTCAAATATGTATATATATATATATATATAACTTTTTGACTTTATATACAAATTTGTCTAAAGTTTGCTTTTTCAGTCTTTTTTATTTTTTTCCTTGAGACAAAATCATTACTCAGCTTTAGTTACTGTTTGAATGACGCGGGATTCGAGTCCGACCTCCTAATTAGTGATTAAACGTACTAATTATCATTTTAAATGACGTTGATTAAATTTAAAAATAAATAAATTGAAAGAAAATGTCATATTTTTCAGGGAGAAAATATTTTAAAAATATATATATTAAAGAGATATAAAGACCAAAATTAAATTTGATGAAAGGGTCTAAAAAATTATAATAATTTTAATAGGGAAAAAATTAGAAATATATATATTTAAAGGAAGAAGAAATACTGAAATGTTTGTTATTTCAGTAAATTGAGAGTTTTATGGTAAAATCATAATTAGCAGCGACAGTTTTCATTGTGCTTTTTTTTTTTTTTTTTTTTTTTTTTTTTTTTTTTTTTTTTAATTTTAAATTAAATTCCAACAAAAATTACACGGAAATTCAACAGAAACTCTAACGGCTTCTTCTTCTTGTTCTTGTTCTTCATGTTCATGAATTTCAGTACAATCTCAGCACACTTCTGGCGATGGACTGAGCTGGATTCGGCCGGTTCTTCACGATTTCCCCTCGCCGGCCGCCCTTCATCGGCGTTACATAGAACCGTAGAAGTCCATTGTCGACGACGTCGTTGGTTGAAAATCTAGCACTATGATTTCTCTCCAACACGAAATCTTCTTTCTTCTTCCTAAAGAATCCGCTGCTTGTTTCCACATTGCTCTTTCTCATGCTTCCAAATGACCCGCCATTGTTGTTCTGCAAGCTCCTCCAGCTCACGCTGCTGTTGCTTCTCATCATTTTGGGGTTAAAACCCATTCCTCCGCCGATTCCTCTAACCTCGCCGTTACGTTCGCCTCGAAATTCAGGCCATGATTCCGATAAGGATCTCGTTACGCCGTTAGTTCTAGTGCTATATCTGTCTTCGTCTTCGTATTTGTTGCTGGCTCGCCGGTGTATGAACGCCAAAATGTTCCAGCCCTTCCCCCAACGGCGGGACTTTTTCGCCTCCTTCCGGTCTACGTTTCTGAAAGGAATTTCGAAGGTCTCCGAACAGTCGTCTCGTAAGGAATTCGTGTTGGAATCTCTTAGGACTTTGTCTGGAACTACCAATTTCGGTCCGGAAAAGAAATCGGCTGTTGCCGGAGAGACTTTCGCGTTTGAGGATGATTTAATCTCGTCCATATCCGCAACGACTGCCGCTGCCGTCTTCCTTAGTGAGCTTGATCTGTCGAGGCTTCTTCTCCGGCGAGAGGAGTCGGAGTAGTAATCTCTGGTTTGTTCCGAACCACCTGGGACGGTTTCATCGTCATTGCCGGAAATTGCAGGTTCTTCGACCGGAATTTGAGTATCCGTTCGAGAAACATGAATCGGAGCATCTTCAACAACAGAGAGCATCGTCGGCATTCTGGTGAAAGTACGGCTAACTAAATAGCCATCCCAAGAAGCTCGTGGTTCATCGAAGGAGTAACGAGGATCGTCGAAGGACATTCGGCCGGCGTCGAGGGAGAATCTGGGATCGGTATCGCAGGACCGACGGCCATAGCCGTAATCGGCTATCTCCGACTGTGTTTCTCTGAATTGACGTCCGATCGGCTTCTCCACCGGCAATGTGGCGGAGCCACCGCCATTTCTGCTCTTCTTGAGCTTCTGCTTGTCTCTCCATTTCTGCCATTTCTTGCTGAAAACAGAAGCGGCTGACCAGAAACTCCCGGCGATCTCCTTGAAGTCCCGACCGGAGGGTTTCTTGGGTTGGGAATCGAGATCTATGTGATCCTTTACTCTCTTGAAATCGTCTTGTACTGGTTCAATTTCCGGCCGGCTTGGTTCTTCATTCTCCTCTTCCTCCTCTTCTTCTTCTTCATCCTCTTCTTCCTGGATTTCTTGGACTCTGTCGTCGACTACATTACCGGCATCGGATTCTCCAGAAATCTCTATTTCAGGTTCAGTTTCGTCTTCTTCTTCTTCCTCCGGTTCCAAAACCGGACCACGAACAACAGACGAGGAGGCCAAATTTCTAGGTTCATCTTCAATGTGAACACCGCCGCCATTGTTAACCCGAGGAGCTTCATTCTTCAATGGCTTCCGTTCATCATCCTGTGAGAAAAGAGTCCACAGAGTATTCCGGACTCTCACGTCACATGATTTCCTCTGAGGCTCAAACACACCGGAAAATCCTTCATTCTTGGACGCCGAAAATGATTTAGTCCGACGAAGCTCAGGTAAAAAAGAAGACGTTTTATTCCAGCCAGAGGCGGCAGAAGGACCTCCACCACCAGCGGAGGGTCTGAAAATGGCCTTAAGAGCAGCAGCAGCAGCGGAGGAGTTACTCGGCGGCTTTCGAGAAGAGGAAGAAGTTGAAGAAGAAGGTTCGAGAACAGCGAGACGCTCGCAGAGACATGTAGGGCAGAAACCGGTGAAACGCTCTTCTGGATGACGGTCGCAGGAGGTAGAAGGGCGGTGGGGTTGCAGGAGCAAAGGCGGCAGCGCCTCCGTGACTGGATTCATCTCCGGCAACAGGCGCTGGTCATGTTCCAAAATGAAGAGAGAGAGAGAGAGAGAGAGAGAGAGAGAGGTTTGGTCTAACGGACAGAAAAGAAAAATAAGGTTAAAACGACTGCAAATTCTAGAGAGAGAAATTCTCTGTGGGGGGAAGAAAAAAGGGTGGGCCCCACATGCTGCGTGTCGCATCTTCTTTTAGCCTTGTTAAAAGAAGTGAAAATTAGTATTCTAGGGACACGCGCCGCTGTGAAATTACCATAATGCACCCTTCTTCTGTATTCCCCCCCTTGCCCCCCATCCCTACATTTTCTAGGCTCTGTTTGGCTCTAACTTTATTTAATGAAAATCATTTCATATAATAATAATAATAATAATAACAATCAAATACCTTTTTTTTTTATTTCACATAAAATATAAACTCTCCCTCAAAAATCAATACCACAATTAATATCCCATACTCATTTTCTCGACATTTTTTCATGGTCTTTATAGTACAAAATACGATTCCAATAACTTTCGGAGTCTGTTATGCTCGACTTTATCCTAATGACACACGAGACACGTTTTCACATCCTTATCTAGTACAAGACGTGTCCAATTCAACAATATAAAGGTCCTATGTTTAAAACAAACTACTATGTAACAACAGAGTTCAAATACGACAATATCTGCTAACAAATAGCTTAAACTGTTACAATTCACTATTTGAAATCGAGCGACTTCTTAGTACTACAATGAACTCCATTGTATATAATAGATATTTGAGTTTCTACTCACACTTTTTAAATTATTTATCTATTTTTCTTTATTTTTTTTTTTGGTCATATAAATGGTCTAATATCAAACTTATAAAAATGCATCTCATAAATACTAAATTTATTTATTTTTATTTATATGTTCTCACATAGCTTTCCCATTTCACCCCTTTATTTCTTTTCCTGTTTTAGGGGTTTTCCTTTTTGTTTTTATGGCTTTTCAGTCTTTTTAGCTATTTTATTTTCTTTTTTTTCTTTTTGCTTCCCAAATCCCAATTTCCATTTTGCCTGTGTTTATTGTTTTGTTTTGCATTAATAAGTAAAAATTTAATCTTGAATTTTGCTTGCCCATTTCCAAAGTACATACCCCTTTCTTTTCACTTTCCTTTATTTCCTATATTTTCTCACTTATTATATTCTTAAATAATAATAATAATAATAAATAATTGTTGTCATTTTAAAAATTTTAATTTCGTATTTAATAAATTTCTAAATTTTTAATTTTGTGTCTACTCGATCAATTCAATCTATTTAAATATTTTATTGATAACTCGAGAATTTAATGTTTTACTGAACACAAAACTCAATTTACATTAAATAAATTTGTTGATTTCTTTTTAAAATATTGAAAATATCAAATATTTATGAGTCATAACCTAACTTATTACAAAATATATATATATATATATATATATATTAATATATTCATAATAAAAACAACAATAATGTGAAATATTTTATAAACAATAAATTTGTAAATAAAAATAATAATTACCAAATGAAAGCACACGTGCATACGTAGGAGTTACGTATGGTTCTACAAGGTGCGGTGGCAATATCAATTTTCTGAACACGAGACCTCAGATTTTGGGCCCACATTATTCATATCTACTCACTTCCATGAACCTGACCGCACCTGATTTTTACTTTTAAATTTTTTTTATAGAAAAAATGAGATAAAATAGGAAAGAATGTTCGCACGTGTGGTGGATACATACGTGGCATATTCATTATTGGAATATTCGTGTCACCCTTATTAATATGTGACAATCTAAATAATTAGTTTTAATGAAATAATTCTCGTGATAGTTACAATTTATTGTTTTTTAATGAATAAATTTTAGTTCTTAATCTAAATTTTATAAGACAAATTATTTTTTTATTTTAAATATTAAAATCAGAGAGTTTAGAATAAAATACATGAATTTTAAAATTGTTATTTCCTATATCAAATTACTCCCTTAATTATGATAAATTTAATATTTTATTTAAATCCTTATCTATCATTTGAAAAAAAACGAATAGAAAAAACGGGTAACCATGTACACATTAGATTTTAAAGTTTTGAATTCGTTGGATTGATGACCAAAACAACTCAAATAAAGATCATAATACAACTCATCCTTTAATTTTTTGTTGGACTAGATTGTCGGGTTATTTTTTTATTTATAATTATTTAAAAAATTCCACCTATCGACGATACATGTTGAAAGCTAAAATCTCATAAAACTCAAATACATCACTAACCACGATTACAAAAATTAAAATGGTCTTAATGTTCATATTAATTTAAAATTTTTTATTTTTAAAAAATTCAACCTAATTTGAATCAAAAAGATTGAGTCCGTCCTAATTTTTATATTTTGAATGGAATAATCTAAATGGATTAAATCTTTTCATCACATTAAGAAGAAGATAAAAAGAAAAAAGAAATAAATAGAGAGGGGTGGGGGAGGGGTAGCTTTTGGGCACCGCAAAGTCACGAGGAAGCAGTGGCGGTTGGGGAGTAGCGGCATCGTCCTCAGGCAATCACATGAAACAAATAAAAGAGAGAGAGAGAGAGAGAAAAACCTAACTTTTGTGGAAGCTGAAAGGGGGAGGGGTATGATGGTAATTAACGCCAACTTCATTGATTGGGGGGTGGAAATAGCAATTATTTATTTATTTATTATTATTATTTTAAAATTTTTTTTGGGGGGGGGGGGGGGGGGGGGAGGGGAGTGGCTGGAATATATGAGGCGTAAAGTGTGTTAGTGTCCTCTATCTTTAACTTTTCCTTTATTAATAAAGGAAGAGTTTTTGTTCATAAAAAACAATAATGACAATAATAAATATATTATATTTTTTCTTTAAAAAGAAAAAAAGAAAAAAGAAAAAGAAATAAAGAAAGGATTAAGAGTTTGTCTCTCTCTCTCTCTCTCTCTTTCTTTTTGTGTGTAAGTGATCTGTCTTTTAGGGTTTTTGCTTTTTAATATATATATATATATATCTTAGGGTTGCTGGTATGAGAATTATTGTGATGTTCCCATAAGGATATGTTTGCATGGAAATCTAGAGAGAGACTCAGAATTTGGGACCAAACCAAAATTCTTCACTTGTGGGATGGAGAGGGGTCCACATCTTATAATAATGAACTGCATTCCCATCTATGCTCCACCAAGATACAATTAGATTCTCTCTCTCTCTTTCTCTCCTTCCCAATCTTGGTCTTTTGAAATTTAACAATCCCAATGATTTGGGTTTTCTTTTTTGGCAAATGTATTGATGGGGATGAGAGCAATTTGAGGAGTAGGTAGAAGCTTTATATGTATTGATTTAGTTTTAAACATTATATACATCTCGACTTTGGAATTAGCAAGAGCGGGTCGAGTGGAGTGTCCAAATCTGATTTATCTATTCACTATCTTATCCTGTGCTACTTAATGAGCATCCATTTATTTAGTCTAAGTCTCCAAATCTGATTTATCTATTCACTATCTTACCCTGTGCTACTTAATGAGCATCCATTTATTTAGACCAAGTCCCGACTTCGTTTTAAACATCATAAGTAATGGAATAGAAATATAACCCTAAAGCATTAGGTGAAATTCAAAAGTCCGTAAAATAAATCCTAACCTGATGTAAAACAAATCTATAATTATAAATTAGGAAAGTCGAATTCAGACGGTAACTTACCAGATAAAGAATCAACTATCATCCAAGAAGTTGATTGTTCGATCTTTCGATTCTGTACAAGATTGAATAAGAAAAAAAGAATATCAATTTCTTCTCTCTATGTATTAATAGATAATAACAATAGCAATGATAAAAGAAGAGTTCAAAGTTGTCTTACATGGATCGAAAAGAGTATTAAAGCAGCTTAAATCATTTCATTTTGTTTTCTCCTCCAAGGCTAATGGACAGGAAAGGAATCCTGCAAAGATTTTTCTCACAGAACAATCTATAGGAATTATTATGCTCCTTAAAACAATATTAAACTGTCTACTACAAGATATCAGTCAATCTCTGCCCAGAAAACACCAAAATAATAATAAATTCATACATACCTATGGATTCACACCAAGGCTGGAAAAGAAAAAAATCAGCCGCAGAGAGAGAGAGAGAGAAACCAAGCCATGGTAATCTAGCAGCCACATTTGTAAAAATTTTGTTTGACATGAAAAGGAGTTCAATTTTTTTTTTTCTTTTCTTTCATGTAATATATTCAAAGCCTGCAAACTGAGATTAAGAAGATAACAGAGTTGGATTTGGCAAAAGGGGGAGAGTGATTTAGCTTTGGTTTGCGTTCTTCTGTGAAGGGAACTGCAGATTCTAATGTTCAGAGTGTGTGCAGGTTTTGTCTCTCCCGTGCTGCTTTATGCAGTGAGAATGAGCTTTCTTCGTTTCTTTAGTTCTTTGTCATTTTCTCTATGGAAAAGTCAGAGATTGGAACAGTTTCCCAGTCTTGACATAATAACCCCACACCCATAAATATATTCAGACTGCAATCTCAAAACCACATATAATTTCACCTACAACGATCATATGGGGTTTTCATTTTATAATCAACATTATTTTCATGATCTATGGGGATTAACTGTAAGAGATAATGAATGCAAACCCCTTTTAGAGCCATCAACTAAGGAAATATATATTCTGATACAATCCAATTGATACTGAAAAGTTAAGCAACAATAAGTATATAGATCTGAAAGGAATCTACTTATTTGTTAAAGATAATAAACGTGAACTACATAAAAGGATGGCTGTAAAAGGTCCGGTTGTGTTGGAAAAAAAAATGCAAAAATCTGGGAATCATCTCAACTAAAAGAAATCAAACTTGTGCTTAAATGGAGAAATCTAAAACTGGAAATGGAAATATGCCTCTTGCACACAGCTGAATCTATCAATAATTAGAGCACAAGAGATTTCACATAAGGAACACCCATGGCCTCAATGTGAATCTAGAAAAGACTGAAAATAGTAGGATGAGAATACTAGGTGACATAATCTTGGGCTTATGGAAGTTACCTTTCTGATTCATAATGAGGATAAATTGGTGGAGCACATATTACAGCGACAATCTGCGTCATGAAAATTAATGAAAGCAGCATAAACATGCGCATCCAAAGATTCAATTTCTTTTTAAAGTTGTAATATCCGATAATGTTGTTTAATTTAATGCCTAGATTATTATTGCCCATAATTAGGCAAGGCTACCCATATTCACTCAAAAGGTGAGTCCCAAGGGAGAGTTCCAAATGAATAACTTCCTTTCCCTTGGTTATTTTTGGTGTTTATTAAGTAAAGAGAAAATGGCATTGCAAAAACAAGCCTAGCTGTGAAACAAAAGAAGGGAAAAGAAAAACCGATCATTACAAGTGAAAAATGAACACAAAAGGACAATCAAATGAAGCCCCTTTACCCCATTCCTTTGCCCCACATTCATACAGCTCATATAAATCAGAGGCTTTTTCATTTCCCATTTTTCTTTCTGATTAAAAACAATGTATAAATGATAGGCCACTTTAACAGAGAGCCTCCACCTTGGACCCCATATACATGTGTAAATTTTCAATTCAAATTTTATAAAGGATGAGGTTTAATGTCTACAAAATATTTGTTAATGAAGTTGTAAAAAGGAAATCTTTGAAGGCTTTAGGTTGTGTGAATGTTTTTTCCCCCTTTAAATTTAAAATGGGAAGGAATAAATTAAGAGTACACTTAACAGATTTTAATCCTATACCCAAAAAAGAGGGATTGGGTATCTCATTCTCAGACACATTCATTTCTTTCAATGCCTGGCATAATGTGAGAGCTTTTCCATCTTTTGGCCCATGAAGATTCGGTAAATAATAATAATAATAATAACAACCACGACTACAATTAAACTAGTAATCATTGATGACTGGGCCTTCAATTGATCTAACATTATAACTGATCGGAGTTTGTGTGCATGTAGAGGGGAGGGACGATAACCACTAGAAGTTTTCTTTTCAGGATATGCTTTCATGGTCCCTATTGGTCTGTTCATAGTGCCTGAAATGGTCATGATGAGATGACCCTAAATTCCAGCATTACATGAAATGGATAGACCTCTTATTGAAGTAAAGTGGCAGTTCCTCAAGGCAACTACTATGATAGGCTTATAAAAAAAAACTACATGATTTTACGAGTTGAGTGAAGGAATCCCAAGAAAGAATATAGTTTTTGGCATGTTACTATGGAGAGAGAAAAGCAAAGGAATGAGCATACTAGAGATAAGTTTGTAGGCATACCTTCTTAGGGATTTGTATATATTCCAACAGGCCTTCGGTATCTGTAAGTTCTTGGAGAGCTAATTATTCACTAGCATGCCTTGAGATTCACAAAAAAGGTTATTCTTAACAATTTTTAAATCAGAAATACATGAAAATCACAACTAAGAAACGTGTTAAAAGTTAAGGGGGAGAAAAAGAATTTTTTTTTCTTTTTTTTTTTTTCTGATTCAGGGGAGAAAAAGAAAAGTTGGTCTTTGCCTTTTTCTTTTTCCTTATTTTTGTTAGTTACCTCTTCACAATTAAATGTTATAAAGTTTGGAGAACAAGAACTATGCCTAAAAACAAGAGAAGAAAATAAGGAATCCTACAACTAAAAAAATGAAAAGAAAAAGAAAAGGAGGCACGCAGTTCTTTTTCCTTTTCTTTATGGTTCCTCAAGCTAATAACGAGCCCAGTAAAACATTTGCAAATTAGCCCCTCTTGAAAAATAATATACTATTATTTAGAGTTCTCACCGTCGGTGTCATGCCTGGCAATAGGAAGTGGCATCTTTGGCAAAATCCCGAAGGGCTCCGGCCTAAAACAAGAACTCAAGGCAAGTGCGATAAAATAAGTGGATCAAAATTTAACTGCCAAAAGCTTGAATTTCCAAAGAATTACCTTTAAATTTTTTACTGTTCGAGATAGAGTTGATCGACTACCTGAAGAACGTATGGAACCAACGAGGCACAATGCGTCACTTATTTACCATAATTAGGCGCTACGTCATAGAAAACTATTAATTCCTACCAAGATTCTTCCTCAACATTTCATCAACCTTTTCAGAGAGATATCCTGCACAACTAGCAATTCATAACAGAAATATTGGTTCATTAAAGTAATTTTCGAACTAAAAGAATTAAGTTCAGACAAATGAGAATCTTGATCTGCTCAGGCCCCTTTTACTCTCTCAGAGCCCTCTTTTTTTTTTTTCTTTTTTCTTTTTCTTTTTAATTATCACCAATTAGAAAGAACCTACCAATTCTTGCTCTGCCAAAACCTGACTTCGCAATTTCTCTGACGGAGAATGATTAGTAGCTTCGTCCACGTAATCAAAGTTTTGCAACCAGAGTCATAAGGTAGCACTAGAAGTCTTTTGGTGCTTCCAAGACAGTCCTGCACAGCACATTTGGAAGAGTATCTTCCCCTTACTGATGATTCACTCTTCTGTATAATAAATACCCATCAATTATATGGCTTTTTTTTTAATTAAAAGTAATCAAATTCAATTATATCATGGAACTGATGAATCTGTAAATCCAGGTTGCTTGATATTCCTCTTCCCAGCTAGACTATAAGTATAACCTTCAATTTTGTAAATAAAAAATGCAGACTAAGAAAATTAGTTGACGCTGCCTGTGTTATGGCTTTGGGATGCTCGGCTAAGGAGTTTGTTAATTAAAAAAAAGAAAAAAAAAATCTACTTCAACCGATATGCCCTTAGGCACGGCTGTACATAAACTAAAAATCACACTTGGAAAGGGGGCAATTAGCTAGAGCAGCAAGTGTGGGAAGAAAACTGATTGCAAAAAGTAGAAATCGACCCCATTAAAATTATCTTTGGGAGAGGTCTCTTTGATATCCAAAAATTTCTTAGCAATAGTCGGACAAGTGGGGAATGTTGGGGTAGACTAGAAAAGTTGTCACAATGCACTTCTTCGCTACTCACTAAGTGATTGTGCAACACTCACTCTCGTCTTATAGTAAGTTAGCCAACTCAAACTTGAATTATCGGTAGGACAAATGACTTATCTCGCAGCCTTTACTCTGTTCTTGGAAAACAAGATAAATATTATACCTAGCAAGCAGAAAGACACAGGGAAACAAGATAAAAGGTTTGGAATGGACAAGTGGCCATAAACAACAACCTTGGCAAGACTGTGATCCTATGAAATCATTTTTTTACATCCCAGACATTTGTATGAAAATATTTTCAGCTATGAAGAAGCCCTAAATGTTGCATATAGCTCAGACTGATTGATACTTTAGTTTGTCTAAGAAGAGAAATTCATAGAAGTCCCAGTATACTTTACAATTCAACATCCCTATTTTGGTTGAATTCCCAAAGACTAAATTAGTTGCGGAATCAAATTTTCACTAACCTGACATTGACAAACTGCCCGAATGTAGCTTGAATAGATCACCATTTTCAGACTTAATGGGGCACCGATACCATCTCCAGTGGCTTGCTTTTGACTTTTCACATTGCTGAAAAGCAGCTCTTCCGTTTTCCCATAATGAACCTCATTCATTCTTGTGTGAAATTCATGCTTGCTCTAGGTCCACAATTATAAAAAATGGAAATCTTACTGGAAGTCAAATCTCCTCCAATATCTATATCATAGCTAGCTTGACCAGAAGAGCATCCATTAAACTGGTAGTTTTGCTGCATCTTGTCCTGTAAAGCACATTCCTCATCGGGAAAAAAGATCAACAATTTTCACTGCAATGACTCGTCATAATAGTTAACTGCATACAAGTGCAATTATGTGTATGCAGTCCTACTGTCGGCTGATTGAAATTGGAACCTTTAGTCTGCTTTTACCACAAGCCTTAGCTCGCAATCCAAACCAAACAAAAGATCAATATATGAGAAAACGCATTCAAATTTGACAGTGTGTAGCGGTTCTTATCATGCAAAACGTTGAACTAGAGACGTAATGGTGTCTGCGGACAATTCTATTTATCACAAATAGCTCAGAAGCATTTTAACAGAAATGACATACACCATACGTCTCCCTTCTATAATCTTTCATTCTGGCTGCTTTCTATCGACTGGAAGTTTTTCCTTCTAGAAAACATCCACATTAAAAGAAAAATAACATCTTAGTTTCCAGAAAAGGTTGATCGAGTAAGTAACACATCAATTATCCCGCATGCTAATATTAGCGTATTTTTTCTATTTCGAAAAACACAATTGCGTTCTATTAACATCATCCAGGAATCTCTGGCATGGAAGAAACTTATTGCCTAGAATGCAACTCCTGAGTCAAAAGGATCGATCTTGGTTTAGGGTGGGCAACTAGTCCTATTACCCCGATATTGCACCCTAAGATAAACCAAGCTCAGGCCCATGTATAAAAGCAACCCGGTTTCAGGATGGCAACTGGAGGCAGACATGCACTGTAAGCATGGAAAGTAACGAAAGGATTCATTTAAAAGAGAAAATGGCTCGAAGATCATCGAAGACATTACCTAAAAGTTTCTTGAGACACATGAGAACCATTAGTATTTCTATTGTCAGAAGAGTTTCCCGACAAGCTGCTGGTGCAGGACTTAACAGATCCAAGGACGTGGTCAGAAAAAAATTGAAATTCTGGAGGTAGAGGTGCATTTTCTTGATCATCAACAATCAAAGAACAGCAACTTTTCTGTTCATATCACAGAAAGAGAAAAATTGGACAGAGCAAAAGGTAGATAAGATTATATACTTATGCAGGGTACCAATAAACCACAAAACCTTGCTAACTCGAAGTGATTAAGTTGGACATGCAATCATACAGAGATCAAGTTTGGTTCTAGATCGTGAGATGATCATCTTGAATCATTAAAAGAAACTTCCTGTTTGGTACACCTATGAATTGAATATGACTTAATAAAAGAAACTATGAAAATATTACTCTAGTAATATGATATTATTACTTCTGAAAGGCTGTATCCCATGTTCAAGGACAAGTATATTATGCACAAATGTTGGATAGAATGTCCATGTTCAATGCATGAAGTATTGATGTGAATTAGGCGATCCGGGAAAATGTTGATACCCAAAGAACTAACAAGACCCACAAAGACCGAATAGACCATCCAACACCTTCCATAACTCTTCCCCTGTCTCCCTAAACTTAATGAAACCATAAACTACAACAAACCACCACTCATGATTTCTGCTTGAAAAACTTTACAGAATGAGAGTGGGGTCCATGCACAACCTCTACATCGGACAAGGAACATGAATTGCGCAAATTATCTTCTTCCAACATTGACTCTAAATGGATTGTTTTTTGGTCACTGCTTTAAAATTAGGGCGGTTCACTTTAATTGAATTTTAATAAAGAAAACAAAAAACAGATCAAGCTCTCATTAAATTGAATTTTGAATAAAAATTAAAATGTGTATGGATGCATGCAACATACATGCTCTGATCACGAAATCAGATAAAGACGTGAGAATGACGCATATTTATCAACTTATTCTCCACGTAGAACTTTGGAAAAAAATATTAAAAAAATAACAGATATAACATCATGCAAACTTACATTTCTCTCCCACTCTATCTAAATGTATGTGTGTGTATTATACGCTTACTATCTACTGCATGAGCCAAGGGGTCCACAATTATATATCAACGCATCCATGTTGAATATTTCTGTTCGTGCTTGCTAGATTTTGCTTAAACCATAGTCATCGAAAATTTCCACAAAAGCAGAGGGAAACCCGAAAGACCATAGATAAAACTTTTTTCATGAAGAATTCGAGCGTATTTATTCCAGAATAATAGTTACTGTCCTAAGGCGTAGAAGTAATTCAAATGTGAGTTCAAACATGCATCCAACAAGATTAACAGGTTTTCCATGCAAAGACAGTGAACTTGTCCCAAACTTAAATTGGGTCCTAGGAGATGTGATTGTCCAGAACTTCATGTGCTTCTTCCCAGCAGTTCAAAGAGGTTTTGAATCTGATGAGAAGGAAACAGATGAGATGGTCGTCTAAGATGAACATGGTTTGAGCTTTGCTAGCAACGCTGTAGTCCGCCAAATATATATTCCCCTCGTATAAATAAAGAATAGCGAATTATTTAAGCTGGAAAAAGGAAAAGTGAACAAGTAGCAGCAGAACCGAAACCAAAGAAGAAAAAAACTAGCATCAGGGGAAAAAGCAAGGCAAGCAATACCGTACAGATGACCTTCAAGTTCTGATGCAAAGACTATGCCATCTAAATCCCACATAAATACTGTAGGTTGAGGCACTGAATGCAAAAGCAATATAGAACATGGGGTGAGGAAAATATAGTAATCGAGTCATCTGACCTTTCACCATTGCAAACTACAGATCAGAAAGCCCATGATCTAGGCTTTTGATGATTTTTATAAATTTATATGCATAGTGGTGAAGCCATCATCCCGTAGACAAATCTCTTAATATATATTCGAGGACCTACATGAATAGATGAAGAAACTGTCATGATCCAAATTTACTGAGAACGTGGACTTCATCATATAATACTGTCAATGAAATTCGGTGGTTGTTTGGCGTTGGTGCTGATTGCTTACTGCTTAAGCACAAAATATAAAGTGAAATTAAATACACTGAAATTTTAAAGCAGGTAAAAATCATTTGGCTAAGTAGATCCGATTAGTCGAATAAAAACACCGTGGCAGTTATAAGTACGAACCGGAATATACGGTATCTCAAATCAATCTTATCTCAACAATCATGTCGGTTTCAGTTCGTAAAACTGCAAAGACAAAAGGACAATTCTGGAAAAAGAGTTCACCTCTCCAGCAGCCACGAAGCGGCCATCCTGGGAAATTGCCACACAGCTCAGAGGTCTGCACAGCCGAATAGGCACCAGGAGGTGCGATTGCGTACCAGAGTCAACATTATGCATCACCAGAACGCATTCGACCAAATCGACACAATTTGCAGAATTGACGTTCGAAACAAATCCATGGTTGTTCTTTGCAGAATTGTAGTCGTATAAGCTAGGAGACATGAAACAGAACAGAATAGGAAGATTATGAATAATCGTGATAGTGGAGGATCGGGATTAATGGCCTTCAACAGAAAACTCAAATGACAAACAGTGGCGAAGAGATTGATACCTTTGAAGGTGAATCTGTTTTCTTGAGCTTGCAATTCGGTTTTAGCTGTGAACAATCGGCTTCGAGAATGGCATGGAGGTTTTTGCTCTCTCTGAGGAAATTTGTGAAAATATTCGAGACTGGAATGGATGGACGACGGCGGGAAATTTGCAATATATATATATAATGGCAATAAAGTTTCAAATAATTAGGAAATACGTGGACAACTGGCTCCCGCTTAAGTAGGCCGTTTCTATTAAAATATATATATATATACCATATTGGTGTAGGAGCTTCAAAAAAATAATTTATTTGGTTTTTGTGGTCTATTTTATTTATTTATTTATTTATTTATTTATTTATTTATTTATTTATTTATTTATTAGTGTAGCTAACATACTAGAGCATTATGGATAACACTCTCACTCAAGACATCCGATACAATAAATTTATCTGGGTAAATATATGGATGTATATAGTTTGGGTTGAGTTGGGTTTACAACTTAACTCAACTTACCCTTCAGATTGGGTTCAAGTTGTTAAAAAAAATAGAGAATTGATGTAGTTTGGTTCGGGTCAATTCGAAGTTTTGGTTTAAGATATCTTTTTATAAGATTTAGTTTGGTTCGGGTCTACCCAAAATTTTGTCCAATGAACCCGAGACCCGAACATAATATATTTGGATTCAGAAAAATGAACACAACTCAACCTGGAATGTGAATCCAACCCAATCCTTATAATTCGGGTTAAGTCAGTTCGGATTGCCGAGTTCATTGTACACCCATAGTTGAATAGACAACTCGATGCTTCAAAGTACCATTTCAAAGCACTTGGATCAAACGAACAACAAGCATTTTCTATCATAAATACCAACATATTGTTGGATGGGAGGTCTCATAAGCATGTCTCTGCTGCTTACATAATAGGATGCTACCATAAGATCTCAAGAATCTGTGACGTTAAAGACCGAAGATTTTCGAACATCCACGCGTTTTTGCAATTCAAACAATGGCATGAAGTACAGGGCAGGAGAAGAGACAGATTGTACATAAATATCAATGTTTCGACTACTTAATTTGTTTGATCTTGTAAACGACATGATCTTGCAACACTTTCTGATTGTCTACCTTCCAGATATATGTTCATTAAAAAAAAAAAAAACCCCACCAACTCCATAAAAATTTCAATCCTGACTCGAGTTCAGTGATTCGGAAGATTAGATGCACAATCAACACTAAACACATGTATTGCAAAAATTTGTGCATCGTCCAGCTCTCGGTTCAGGGATACCTTTTACATTCTTGTTAATCTGTCTCTGCATTTCGTATGGGGCATCGATCATAGGTTAGTGTTCCGGGAAAACGATGGCAATGGAACAGGCTCTTGCGGGCGAAGGATCATGAGTACACCAAACATTCCAAGCATGGGGAGGACGAGAAGCCACTTCAGAAGCTTATAATAATACATGTGGAATGTGAGGGAGAACTCATCTGAAAAATAGAGTCCATTCTTGTCAACCATCTCCACCAAAACAGTGCCTGTGGTTCTAACACTGACGGTTGGAAGTTTGATCCGATATTTGCCTGGTTCTTTGAAGATCTGGTTTTGTTTTATTTTCCTCTCTCCCTGGTAATTGCCAGGAACCATCAAGGTTGTCTGCAAGTTTTAGTGATATTCAGATCAAAATCACAATTCCAAAAAGAATGAGTAGATTCTTAAAGAACTGCATAAGTGCAAATCTTGAGAATAAAAGCATGGAGGTTAGGATCGAATTACAGTGATGTTATATGGTGCTTGTGTTCCAGATGGATTTCTGTAACGGTCTACAATCTCGATCTCAACCCAGAAGTTCTTGCCTTCCTCATCACGGAAAGTTCTAGAGGACTGTGAAATGAAAACACCTTCACGGTTGTACCGAGTTGCAACGTTGTTTCGTCCTTGATTAGTTGATCTCCATTCCTAAATAAATAAATAGAAGTTTATGTGGGAGAGCGAGAAAAAAGTTTCAGCAAGCAGATTCAGATCATCATATATATACCTTGAGGGGATGGTGAGGAGCAGGAGTTGAAAAGCAGAAAACATTCCCATTCATGGTTGAGACAATAAGATCAAGGTCATCTCCACCATCAACATTGTCAGCCAGAACCATGCTATATCTGTGATGGACGAAAAAGAATAGATATCTGATGAAGGAAGAGCAAAAAGAATATAAGTTCGCAACATCGATAGATTTTAGAGAATATCTTACGACGTCTCGCCGATGTCAATAACATCAGCACAGGATGTAGGTCCATCAATGAGATACAAATAGCCATCAAATGATGATGTGACTAGAGTAAGTCCCTTCTTTTTGTCATTACGTGTATTCAGATCAACGAGAAGAATTTGATTCATCACTCTTCCATGGGTTCTATAGGGGTAAGGACGAACAAATGACCCATCCTTGCCACTCAGAACATATATATTTCCTGATACTGTTGGTACCACCACATCAGTATGACCATCCCCATTGACATCGCCAATGGAGGGACCCTGAGAAAATAAGTACACGCATCAAAACTATGGTGGATAAATACTGGCCTAGGAAAGTAACTATCAGATACTTCGCAACAAACAGAGATCTCCAGGATTTTATCTGTATCAATAAGAGATAGATCACATCAGCTAACCTGTACTTAAATCACGAAGTCTGCAAATTACAAAACGGACACACAACTCCAGATCAGTAACCCAGTATAAGACTCACTTCACAAAGATCTCTCTCTCTCTCTCTCTCTCTCTCTCTCTCTCTCTCTGGCAACAGGATCTGTTATTATCATTGTTTTTTCTATGTATCTTTCAGCGCTTTCTATTCTATCAACTACAGAAATGCAGTAATACAAGCACTACTATGAACTACGTTGCTTCCCAACATAAACTTTTGGTATGAGTAAAGATGTTCATCTCAATACAAGCCATCTATCTCGATTCAATTTCTATAAACAGTCAGCACTCAGCAGTAAAACTCATGAACCTAGGATTGATGGCGTGGCTGACAAAAGCCAATGTGCCAATGATTGATTGAAACAGAGCTCAAACTCATCAAAAAAGAAACAAATACAAGGGATTAAAAAATGAAATGAATTCCTTCATTTTTTTTAATTCAAATGAAAAGAATTTCATAATCTGAAAAGTTAGATATGAAAGTAGCTCGGAGTATAGCAGCAAACGATATAACTGTAACTCGTGAAAAATGCATGCCAGATCTAAATACTTTTCGGTCCTAACCCTACTTTCCCTTAATGAACACCACCTCAAGGTCGATTAAACAGAAGACACAACTCTTAACACATACCCAACCATTCTCCATTATTTTGCAAGAAACTCATTTCGATAAAGCGTTGGCCTCCAAGATAATTCATAATTTAACCTAGGTCACGCATGAATTTAAACAGGCAGCTTGACGTTGCCATCTTTTCATGCAGAGAGTAACTAGCAAGAAACAGAAGGTGGTTCACCTGCGGTATAAGACTCTTTAGATTCTTTTCCCAAATTTCTTCACCTCGAGCAGTCCAGGCAGCAATATTTCCGTGTGTATCAGCAGTTACAAGTTCAATTTTTCCATCATCATTGATATCAGCTGCAACAACAGCTCCCTGAATATCAGCCATTTCAAGAGGAAATTTTTCTCTCACCTTGCCTGCACAAATACCACAATCAAGATTCTAATTTCAGGAAATTAGGAAGGAAGATTTCATGTAAAAGTTTAAAATTTCAAGAACGAGTGAACAAATTTAATCAATGACTGCTAAGAGAAAACCAGCAAGGCAAAGGGCACATAACAAAGAATGTACTGAACCATTAGAACACTATTCAAGAGGTAAGTGCTATCTCCTAAAAAGGAGGAGAAAGAAGTTGCGCAGTAAAAGCTTACAGGAGGTATGACTGTACTCATCAAGACATCACCTTCAAGCAAGATTGAGAAGCAAGTAGAATGAGAATACGGCTCAAAGAAAGAATGTTTCTACAAGATCTCAATCAAGTAATTCTACCCCATTTATTGAGAAAATAAAATGCCAAGCGAGGATAAGATATCATTTAAATCGTCTCGAGTTTGCAAAGTGTATTAAATACCAAAAAAAACAGAAAATAATAATAATATAAGGACACAAAAATCAAAGAAGAAACGGTTGCACATACAAGAACAAGAAAATCCGAATTCAGAATCAGATTACCTTGATGATCCAAGACATAGAACAAGCCATAGGATGTTCCAACAAGAATATCCAGATTCCCATCACCATCCAAATCAATGACAGTAGGGGAGGAATATATATAAGCACGAAAGTTTGCAGAATCTGTGCTCAAGTCTAGTTCAGCTGTCCACTTCACTTGCTTTGTATCCAGATTGAAAACAACAATAGCACCAGCTACATATTTCCCAATATCAAGATCACCCAATTCTTTCTTGTGCTCTGGGTTATCGTAGTACCTATTATCATAGAGACTCATCAATTTCACCGAAAAAATAAGTGAAAATAAACACATTCATCACTCAACAAGGGTAGACAGTCTATTCACTCCCAGAGCATTATAAAGATTTTATGTGAATATACCAAGTACTTGATGCCCCAAAACCCAGCAAGAAGTACATGCAAGTACATTTGAATATACATACAAAGAAACTAAGTTCAAATAAAACATAAGATAGTCCTGATTTGTTTTCCCTCATTTTCTTAATCAATACTATCTAATGTGTGAGAAACTGAAAGAATCAAGACGCAAGACAGCATCAAAGGGAACTCACTCGTGATCAAAAAAGTATGAAACAGCTACAATCATTTCAGATACCCCATCATTGTCTATGTCAGCTATGACCTGGAAATTTATGTACCATTCAAAGATCATTACCATGAGTCAAGAATAGTAAGGAATGGCACAGAACTTCATTTGAAGTATAAAAGTTAAACTTACAGGAGTGCACAATAAATGTGCGTCAATATCCACATGTTCCTCCACTTTTTCATGCTTATCTTCAGTCCACTCCTCATCTCCCCACATGGATTCATCAACATAATCATCATAGTCATAATTATACTCATCAGCAAGTTCATCATTTTCACGGAATATCTCAAATGATTGATCAGCCCCTGC